TGACCCTGCCCCTGACTCCAGCTTCCTGCCAATGCATATCCTGAGAGGAAACAAGTGATACTTCAAGTAGTTTGGTCACTGCCACCACATGGAGGACCTCAATTGCATTCCTACCTCCTGGCTTTGAACTGGCCCAACCCTGGCCCTGGCAAACATTTAGGAAATGGACTAGTAGATGGAAGACCTCTCTCTCTCTCCCTCTCTCTCTCCCCTCCCTCTTTTTCTTTTTCTCAAAGAAATTAATAAACTGAATTTTTAAAACATGAGAGGAAAGGAAGGCAGAGTGAAGAGTTCCGATAGAGGGTTAGCATCCCACCGTCTGTCCAGGCAGGCTGAACTCTATCTAGGTGGGGAGCAGGTACCCAGTGACTCCCGTTGTTGATTTAACAATTGGCACTTTTATTTATGACGTCAGCAATCACCCGAGACTCTTGCTATGAGCTGTCTAGGCTATGGAAGCCCCTTGAGTTCACCGACTCTGAACTTGTTTAGTCAAGGCCGTATCACAGTGGAGGTTCCTTCCTCCCTTCAGAGAAAGGCGCTTCCCTCCTTGATGGCCTGTTCCTTCTGCTGGGGTCTTATTCACCAGGATCTTTCATTTAGATTGTTTTTTGCCACCGTGTCATGGCTTTCCATGCCTGTGAGACTCTCATGGATCTTTTAGCCAGATCCGAATGTCCCAAGGGTTGATTCTGAGGCAGGAGTGCTGTTTTGGACATTTGCCATTCTATGAGTCTGCTGTGTGTCCTGTTTCCCCCGCAGGATCATTCTCTCCCTTTTAATTCTATCCTTCACTATTTGCTTCATTATTTGAAAAGTACAAGGACAATGTACTGCTTCCCGCCTTGAACTGCTCATCTCGTTTCACTTTCCTGCCAAAATCAGACCTATGCCTGCCCTCCGAGGACTCTGCTCTGGAATTCGGGTAAAGCAGCAGTTGAGGATTGTGTAAAACCCATTCCGTGGAAGTCCCTCGCCTTTCAGGGAGACTTCTGGAGTAGGCTCTGGCCTTTACTTTCTTTTCATGCCGCTGCCTGCATTATTTTCTTCTTGATAGGAAAAGGAGAACCACTTGGTTAGTCATCAACTTGTTCTTATCTGCTTGACTGCATGCTTTGCAAGCTGCTTGGAGATATTTGGCCAGGAATCCAGTTTCAGTGAACAAATTCTGTTATATGGTTGATGGAAAGATTAACTTAATTTGTTAAGAATTATAAGCGCAAAGTGTTTGGGGTTTTATGGAGAGGAGGAGATAGAAGAATTATAGATAATCACAAATTTTTGCATTGAAATTCCAATTCATTAAGTAATCAGCATGGGGGTGTCTGATGGGCTGATTAGATGCAGAAGCAAATAATTTGTTGCTTTTTCAGGGAAATTTCCATCAAAGTAGTTCCACCTGGAGAATTTAAATTAACGTATTATTTTAAATCCATGTATATTTATTTCAAATTGAGTGATCCTGCAGAACAAAGGAGTAATTTTTCATCCAGGCATTCCTGGCTTCTGGGGTGGTGGCAGAACCGAAAAGTCTTTTCTGGGAGTTTGTTCCACACCAATTGTGTAATTGCTTCTCTTTAGCTGCTCTGAATTTAAGACAAGGAATGGACATTTAGCACAGTTGTTGAGCCACTGGTTGGTAAACTCACATCCTATATCTTAGTGTCTGGATTTGAATCTGCTCTGCTCCTGATTCCAGCTTCCTGCTATGCACAGCCTAGGAGACAGCAGTGGGTGTCTTGAGTGGTTGGATTCCTGAAACCCGTGTGGGAAACCTGGTGGCTCCTGGCTTAGACCCTGGGGTTAACCCAGATCATTTCAGACATTCGGGGAGTGTACCAGCTGATGGAAGCCTGTATCTCTCTCTCTCTCTCTCTCTCTCTCACACACACACACACACACCTATCAGTCTAAATTCTGCATCCTAAGCTTCCAAGTTTAATATCACTGGCCTAAGTAGACTTAAAGCTGGGTGAATACAAACCTGTCTGTTATGCAGAAATTTTTCTGCTGTTACATCCTTTGAATTTAGTTAAAGTGACTCAGTCAGTCGTATTTCAACCAAGAAGCCCACATTTTAGGTCAGACTTTAAAACTGAGTTCCCGAGAAGGACTTGGTAGCAACTTCAAGCAGTCGTGACACCAGTCTAAAAAGCCAACTGGGAAACAGGATTTATCCCTTCATCCCCAGCTAAAACGTCTTCAAAAGGGTTACTGAGTCAGGCCACCACTGGCTCGTGGGAGGGTCTGGAGCAGTCCCAACCCCAGAGGCACTCATCCTTTTCCTCTGTGCGCTTGGATTAGAATCTCTTCAGTGGACCACAAGAGCGTCCTACCAAGACTGTGTTTGGGGAACCGAGAAAAATCATAATTTGGTAATATCATGAAGCCTCTGCCAACAGTCCCTGGGGCCTGAGCCAACACTGGTACAGAAACCAATTTGTATCTCTGCTCCACTTGGAACCTGGGGAGCAGCTAATCCTACCAGACCTCACACCCTTGTTTATTCTCACTCCCTGTCCAAATATGCAAGTCCCTTTGGCCATCTACCCTCTCCCCTACTCTCAGTCCCAAACTTCACCCCTGCCTTCCTCTTTTTGCCTACCCTTTCCAGTTATGGCTTCATTTCACAAGTCAGACACAAAGCATCCATCACAAGCCCCTTCACAGAAAGTGTCTGCCACTTTGCCATAACTGAAGGCTGGTTTCCCACAGACCTTTACGGCAAAGAAAGGATGAGCTCTTCCTTACGGTTGTCACCTCAATCCCCACTGAACGTTCCTGCCATTTTCTCTGCTCATGTCAAAGTCTGCCCTTCCGGGGCTGATGTTAACTAACTAAATGTCTTTTGGTGCCTGTTCCTAACCTCCAGTTTGGACACCTGGGTCCTCTCAAATTATACAACTTCTGATGTCACTGTGAGTAACTTAAGCCATCTAGCTGATGTTTCCAATACATGTGTCTCAGCGTTCCATGAGAATTATAAGTCTGAATCATCTGTCTTCTATTTTTGTCAACTTGAATCACTTCTTACACATGGCCTTTGAATATTCGACGCCTATATATGAGAGAATTCACCCTGAAATACTCCATGTCTGAAATCTTAAATGCCAGCATCCCTCCGATTCATGGATCATAACCTCTTACCATTTCAGCTCTCTTGACCTCATGCAGGTCTACACAACTCAATTTCCTCCTAATCAGCCAACACCCTCCCGTCAAGCCAGACCTATTTTTCTCGAGAATTTGCAGTGCAATCTGTCTACCCGCTGAATCCCCTAGCTCACATCAATAATCGATGTCAAATACCCTAACACCAGTATACTGAGTAATACCAGACAAAAAAATCACACCACAGGAGAAATGATGTCACCATAGATTTGTAGTCCCTCCCCTCACTAGGTACTCAATGCTGCTTAACAGTCCTTCAGTGGGACCGTACTTGCAATTGAACAGTGCTCCACAAAACCATTTCAAATGTCCTCAACTCTCCGCCGGGCCTGATGTTCAAGGCTTTCATATCACGAAACCTCCTCTCTCAGATGAAAATGAAATAGTTTGTGTCCACACTGTTTTCAGGGAAAGATTTTCATGTGATGGGGTTGCTATGATTTGATGTTTTTGTGTTCTTGTATACTGGACAACTAAAATTCTTCCTACAATAGGCTCTTCCTGGAGCAAATGAATCCCCACAAGAAATACACACAGAAACAAAAAAGGTATTTTCTATATAATGTCTGATGACTAATGGAAGTTGTCACTTTCCTAATAGAATGATCCTGAGTCTTATCTGTTTTCCCAAATATATTCCCCTGGATTTTGATGCCTGACTTTTACAAAATACAGATATATATGCGTGTGTGTATGTTTATTACCTACATACTCAGAGCAAACATAACTTAAACACTACTACACGCATTCCCACTAGAAGATAAACTCCATAAGGGCAAGGAACTTTGTCTTGTCTTTTACTGGTGTTTTTATTCCTAGTGCCAAGGGTTTGGAGCTATATGTAGTTCCTAATACTATTTTCATTTTAAGGATCTTTCATAAAATAATGTAAGAGCAAGTCACAAACCTATTATTGACATTCTGCCATCTCAAAAGGGAAAAGAGAAATCAACTAGTTGATATTAATTGCAGCTTACTTTCCCCTTCTCTTTGATCTACATTATCAAGTCAAGAAATCAGACATCTCAGATAGACACATAGATAACTTGAAATTTTGACACTCTATATATGTGAGTTGAGTGCTCAGTGTTGGTCACATCCAGTTCAAATAATGCGGCCAGCGCCGCTGCTCACTAGGCTAATCCTCCACCTTGCGGCGCCAGCACCCCAGGTTCTAGTCCCGGTCGGGGCACTGGATTCTGTTCCGGTTGCCCCTCTTCCAGGCCAGCTCTCTGCTGTGGCCCGGGAGTACAGTGGAGGATGGCCCAATTGCTTGGGCCCTGCACCCCATGGGAGACCAGGATAAGTACCTGGCTCCTGGCTTCGGATCAGCGCGATGCGCCGGTCGCAGCGCGCCGACAGCAGCGGCCATTGGAGGGTGAACCAATGGCAAAAGGAAGACCTTTCTCTCTGTCTCTCTCTCTCACACTATCCACTCTGCCTGTCAAAAAAAAAAAAATGCAATAGAGCTGCTTCTCACAGGCATTGTTGTCTCTGCCTAACCATTCTGGGTCTTTCCTCTAATCAAATCCCTTGGTCTGAAGCATGTTAATAGTCATTGGTAAAATACTGTTAGGAAGCAGTCTTAACTTTTTTAACTTTTTTTTTTTAATTATTTTTATTTATTTGAAAGACAGAGTTACAGAAAGAGGTAGAGACAGAGAAAGAGAAAGAAAGGTCTTCCATCTGCTGGTTCACTCCCCAAATGGCTGCAACAGCCGGAGCTGAGCTGATCCAAAGTCAGGAGCCACAAGCTTCTTCCGGGTCTCCCACGTGGGTGCAGGGGCCCAAGGACTTGGGCCATCTTCTACTGCTTTCCCAGGCTGCACAGAGCTGCATAGGAAGAGGAGCAGCCGGGACTAGAACTGGCACCCATGTGGGATGCCGGTGCTTCAGGCTAGGGCTTTAAGCCCTTGTGCTACAGCGCCAGCCCCAAGCAGTCTTAACTTTTAATCTTACTCTCTAAGGCAAGATATGCCAACCTCCATGATCCTCAAAATGTCATTGGGTCCATCATATAGAGTTTCTGAATCCCTTAAGTGAGACTTCACCTATGGCTTGTACATAATAACCTGTTTTGCTTCCAAAGTATAAAATCATGGGACTGCTCTTAAGCTGTGCAAGAATCCCATTTTCTTCAGGAAGTTATCCATGACCCTACATTTCAGAGCATTCACAATTACTTTACATTATTTAAGCCCATGTGCAGAAATGTAATGGTGCTACTTTTTCATAGCTGACCTCAGTCTACCTCTGAATCCCCCTTGGATCACTAGCAAAAAATAAAAATGATCTCATATTTATAAGATAGTTTATCCAGTCACAACCTGTTTAAAATATTCTCTTTGAGGTAAAAATGTATTCATATTACAATTTTGAACTTATTCAATTTATAGTTTAATCTTCTTAGCATGGTTGTTCCAAAGCTCTCCAAAGATATCTCTGTCTTTTCTCTGACCTACAGTGTACAGTAGGAGCTCACTTAATGCCATGTTGTCATGTGCAGTGTGAGTGTGTGGGGATTGGGGTTCTTCTATTTATTTTCCAGGTCCTTGTCAAGAGGCAGAACTGTCTCCCACTGCGAGGCTCTGGTTATTGGTTATATTGGAGTCTATCCTGGCTACATTTGCTACAGTTGGTTGGAATACTGTTCCTCCTTCATCAAGATGCCAACATCTTGTAGTCTGCTGTCCCCCTCAGCGTGCTAGCACTCTCCACGCACTTCTGGGGCCATCTCAGTATCTCCTCTTTCAGGCCTCTGCATCACACTTGCAGGACACCTGTGTGACAGGGTAGAAAGAGTGGGAGAGTAGAGTCAGAGTAGACATGCAGGCCCACAGAGCATACTTCTATATATTTGCACATGACAAGTTAAGCAAGGTGTTAAATGAAACAAATGCTATACTTTCACCTTGAGAAATATACTTTTACAAGGACTTAGGTCCTTTGAATATACAGTTATTAAACTACTTATAATTCCCTGTTGAAATGTGTTGGCATAGGGAAGTCGAGCCCTCATTTAGAGCCCACTTTCCATTTTTTTCCTACTGATGACTCCTCTCACCATGTTGCTAAGCATACCTGAAGGAAACTTCATCCCACACAGTTCCCATCTGTACCTTATATCAACCCCCCCAAAAAAAATACACATACAAATGACCACTTCCTTGCCACCCATCAGAACTAGGGATTCGCACAATGGCAATATGGCTAACCCTCCAGTAACTGTACCTAGGAAGAAACAAGCAGAGGACACATGCAGATAGAAGGGAACCTTGGCAGAATTTCTAGGATCCCAGTTGTTCAGAGCATCATGATCTGGAATGTTCAGAGTTGGGGTCTGGGTCATAGTCCTCTGGGGCAAAGACTTCTAACCCTGCAGGTGTGGACCTGGTCAAAGAAAGACCAACCTACAGCTCTTTAAAGCACGAGTCCCAGGGAAGAGAGTTTAATGGTACGCTTTCCTTCTCCACGCCACACCAGGTCAGAACAACTGAGATGTGTGGGTGAATGGGTATCTCAAGGCTCTGCTCTCTGACACAGTATTTCTTCTCTGCCCTGGCTGCTGAAGTTCAAGGGAGCACGCAAAGTTCTCAGTGGGAAATGGAACATATTCTTCCCTAGTGCTAAAATTCTCAAGCTATCTTAGGATCTCTATCTGCCCCTACAAGTTTCAAATGTGTGGACTGAACCAGAGAATAGTACCAAACTGGCATTTCATCTCATTTATTCTTTCTTGCATCCCTTTCCAGGATCCTCAGTCAAGCCTGGGAAGCTTCCACGTGAAAGGAAGTTTTCCTTGTGTTATATCCTACATTTTTCTCTGTTCTTAATTTGTAGCCCATTCTGTTGGTAGTATTATTTATTTTCGGGTTTTGCCTACATAGGCATTGTTTAGCGGACCAATCAATATTTCTATCATCAGACTAATTTTTCTTCTTTTTTTTTTTTGACTGGCAGAATTAAACAGTGTGTGGGGAGGGGGAGAGAGAGAGAAAGCTCTTCCTTTTGCCGTTGGTTCACCCCCAAACAGGCTGGCATGCTGCGCCGATCCAAAGCCAGGAGCCAAGTGCTTCCTCCTGGTCTCCTATGCAGGTGCAGGACCCAAGGACCTGAGCCACCCTCCACTGCACTCCTGGGCCACAGCAGAGAGCTGGACTAATTTTAAGCTTTCAGATGATTCTTTTTGTATTGAGCAACGTGTTTCTAAATATTAGATATACAGTTACTTTGGCCTTTAACTTAGAGATATTAATTATGACTTGCCAGTTACTCCTGTCTCCCTCTCTTCCTCCATGCATACTTGGTATGTCTTATGATACACTTCTGCTAGGAAAAATTCCACTCACATGTCATCCTCCATGTTTATCCTTCAAGAGTGGATCTGTTTCTAATGAAGGGCATGGCAGGATCATGAGATGACAGCCCTGTTGCCTAGGCCAAACAGGTCTCTAAACTCAAAAGATTGAGTTCAAGTTGATTGAAGGGATGTCCTCCAATGAAAAGTGAGTCATACAAACAGGAGTCCCCCAGAGGACAATGGTGGCCATTTCCAAGTTAAAAGAGAGACATTGATTCTATGTTTGTAGAAGAAGTGGAGTCTCTCAGAGCACTATCAAGGACTGAATATATAAGACAGAAGGGCAGGCACTTGAACCTTAGGGTTCATTTTCCTAGAGTTCTTGGAGATAAGAGAAAGGAAAAGGAGCAACAAAGGTAGCATCTGGAAAACCAGGAGAACATAGTCACATAGGAGCTAAGAGAGTTTGAAAATCCAGCGAGTTACCATAATGCCAAATTTTCAAAAACAAGGTCTAAAAATTCAGCAGATTTTAGTGATTGAATTGTCACTACTGGAACAAAAATATCATCTCAGCAGATTTGTGAAGATAGGAGGAAGCTTACAAGGGATCCAGGAAATGAAGGGTTTAATAAGGAAGAAAGGAATATTGGTGGTTCTTTTGCGAAGTCTGTTGGGTGACAAGGAGATCAAAACAAGGAAAACAGATGAGAACACAAAAGATGGCCAGAATTAAGTTTGAGATAAAAGCACAGTAAAGGATAGAGCGGGCAGTGATATGTGCAGAGTGGAAGGTGACAATAAAAAATAAAATATTACAAATACAAAGAAAGCAGATATTGAGAGGCTCAGGTCAGCACTGTTCACAGGATTGGATTTGAAAAGGAAGATGATTTCCATCCACTGAAACCAGAGGCAAGAGTGAAAGGAAGCTGAAAGAGGAAATGGGGAAGTGATCAGTACAGCTGAGGTTATGGAAGAAGAGGTGATCTAAGGACTAAAGGAGAGGAAGTAAGAGAACATTCTCACACCAACATGGCCTGGATCTTGTCGTCAATGTCTATAGTTTAATGTCAGGGACAATGTGGTTGCCCACTGCAAGTCAGAAAACAAAGGGAGGTCAGGGAGGTGCTGGGACTTGGAGGGTTTAGATAAGTTTGAGAAGTTGTGGAAAATTCATGGTAAATAATTTTCTTTGTAAATCAATAAGACATGCAAACTTCCAAAAGAAGGAAAATCTTGTGGGATGTAAACATAACATCTCTATTTCAAGAGAGTTTCAAGCTAGTCCCATAACATTAGTTTCAAATTTTCCCAGATAGTCAATTCAAAGCTACAAGCAGTCAATGCAGGATTGATTCTGCAACGGAGAGACTTAGAAAGCTAGATATAAGTTCTTTACTCTTTCTAGCCACTTTAGTTTTTCTTCTACATTCCTGAAAGTTTTCCTGTTGAATCATTATATGTTAAGTTTTGAGACTCGAGGAATCTATTGTGGTTTGCACAGGCATCGACAAAATACTTTCACGTAATTAAGATGGAATAGGTTTCAGAGAAGAGAGAAACAGAGGGGAGAGTTTGTAATTAGGTAGGGATGGGTGTGGAATGCTAGAGGTGGAGACAGGACTGGAGCAGGAAAGATCCACACCTTGAGAGCCAGGGTTTTAATTCTCCGCCAGGAGTGGCTTTGTCCCTCATGAGATATTCAGCAAAGTCTAGAGATGATTTTGGTTATTATAAGCAGGGGAGATACAACGGGCTTCTATGGGTAGAAGTCAGCAGCTGCAACTAAACATCCTATAATGCACAAGACAGCCCTCCACAACAAAGAATTATCTGACCCATATCATGAATAGCACCAAAGTTGAGAAACTCTGCTCTGGGGACCCTGGAGAAAAGGAGATCTTTGGCAGGCACCAGGTCTTTTTCATCTGGTTCCAGGCAACTGACAATGATGGTTGAGGGCACTGATTTTAATTCTAACGCAACATAAAACATTCTCATAATTTTTCCCAGAGACATGATTAAGCAATGTTTTAGTATTTACTGGCCTAATTCAAAGGAATTATTTTTCTTAGGTGTGATGAAAGCCAACTTTTGTACTTTGTCCACTCTGTAATGGTTTTGGCTGTACATCACATAGCTAATAATAACCGGACAGCAGGTTGGGAATCTACTGTCCACACTGCCAATGGATAGCAATATAATCATGGAGTGGCCCATCATACCCATGGGTTGTACCCTGGCTTTTTGGTATTGTCTAGGCCCTTTGCATCTTCAATTGCTATGTCATAGGTGCTAAAGGCAAAATGAAGAAAAACGAAAAACCAACTGCATGCAGTACAAATCTAAACAGAAAGCAAAAAATAATGTGTGCTGCAGTTTACAAATCTGAGGGATTCAACTCAAGGGAAGAGAAATGTGGGATCAAAATGACGAGAAATACAGGAAGGGGAGAGGGAAGAGTTTCTCCGTGGTGTGTGACGGCAGGGTGGATTAAGGATTGAGAACAAAGAAGAAAGGCCTGGCCATTTAGTAACCTTTTCCAGCAACAGATTTATTGAAGTTAGTGGTGCTTCAAGAAAATAAAGCAGTGTGCCTGATGCCTTTTGAAATAGAAGTCTGTTCTCAGCTTCTCATCTTGTGTGCCTCAGTTACATGTAAATTGGGTTTCATGGTATGTTAGAACTGTGAAGATGATTGAATATGCCAAAATCTGTTATGGATCATTTGTGCATCAACTCCACAGTTTAAACAGCAGTCACTGAATTGCAACTCAAAAGTCTCTGCGCCAAATTACAGAGAAGTTTAGGATTAACTCAAATGAATGCAGCACCTGTCTGAAAAAAGCCATGATTTTTCTACATTTATTCCAGGTACATATCATAGCTGTTCAGTTGGTCTATCTTTATTGCAACAATGTAAGCAAGAATGGAATGGAAGATTCTTCTTCATGTTCTATTGTCAAAATAATCAGTTCTCTTTCTATGTCATTCTTAGTCATCTGAAATAGACATTAAGGTGAAAGGCAACACCTAACTATACTAATCTGCTAGAAAATAACTTCCTGAAGAGCAAACACTCTAAGAATAGTTATTATTACTTTGTTTTTACTTGTGAATGCTTGATAAATATAGGTGAAGGATGATGTGGTAATAATAACTTGTGTTTGTTTTAAAGTGAATTCTTCAGTTTTTTATTTTTCTTTTATTTTAAATTAATTGATATACTTACTTGATAGGCAGAAAGGAAGATAGACCAAGAGAAAGAATTCTTTTGTGCTAGTTCCCTCCCCAAATGCCCACTATGGCCAGGGTGATGAAGATGGAAGCCAGGAACCCAATTTGCATCTTCCACATTTGTGGAAGGGACTCAATTATTTGAGCCTTCACTATTGCCTTCCAGGATCTGCAATGACAGGAAGCTGGGGTCTGCAGCCAGAGCTAGGACTCAAACTCAAAACATTCCAGTGCATCCTAAATAGCATCTTAATCATTAGGCCAAATGCTTATCCCTAGTCCTTTCATTTTAGAAATAAGTAGCTCGCTTAGACAAAGAGTTGGAGTAATCATATTAAGTGTTAAATTGATCATATAGATAAGATTAAGTGTTAAAGGGATCATATAAGTAAGTTTAAGTGTGAGGCAATGACATTAGATAGAATTAGAAAGGAGAGAATATTCCAACATGGGAAGCAGTTCACACAGCAGATTAATTGAATGACAATCATTTTAAATAGCACTCTGGTCTCAGAATCAGCCCTTAAGGCATTCTGGTCTGGCTAAAAAGCCTATGAGACCATTTCAGGCATGGAAAGCTAAGACACTCTGGTAAAAAAAATGTCCTGCATGAAAAATCTCTGTGAGACCCCAGTGGAAAGAAGGGGTCACCAAAGAAGAATGTACTTTTCTCTGAAGCGAGGAGAGAACTTACACTTTGCTTATGGCCTTGCCTAAATACTGATTCAAAAGGCTTCCATAACTTAGGAACCTCATAATAAGAGCCGTGGGTGATCACTGATGTCATACACAAAAGTGTTAACTGGTAAATTAACAACAGGAGTCACTGTGCACTTACTACCCATGCAGTAAATCTGTCCTTAATGTTATACTGTGAGAATTAGCTACGAAACCTGTTCTCAAACAGTTTTTTATATATATATATGTTGTGTGTGTGTGTGTGCAAATTGTCAAAATCTTTATTTAGTATAGAGTTGGTCTTCTGTGTATAGTTAATTAAAAAATGAATTTTAAAGGAGAATGGAACTAGGAATGGGAGAGGGAGAAGGAAGTGGGGTAGGAATAGGGGTGGGAGGGAAGGTATGTTGAATCACTATATTCCTAAAATCGTACTTTTGAAATGTATTCAGTAAATAAAAGGTTTCAAAAAAACTATTTACACTCACATAAAGATAATTTTAAAAATCACACTGGGGTGGGAGGTGATGCTTTGGCATAGTGGGTTAAGCTGCCACCTGTAGTGCCACCATCCCATATGGGCACTGGTTCACTTTCTGGATGCTCCACTTCCAATCCTGCTCCCTACTAATGCAACTTGGGAAAGTAGCCAAAAATGCCTCAAATACCTGGGCCAATTCATCCACGTGGGAATCCTGGAGGAAACTCCTGGCTTCAGCCTGGCCCAACCTGGCCATTGTGGCCATTTGGGGAGTGAACCATGGGTGGTGATTTCTCTCTGCCTCTGCCTCTCTCTGTAACTCTACCTTTCAAATAAATCAAGCAATCTTAAAAGAAAAATCACATGAGCACAACAAACTGCCACAAAGATTTGGACATGGATGTGATTTTATGAAATGAATTTGGAGTCTCTGTTTACTATGTAATAGTCTTTATACATATTCATCCATGTTATTTCCCAGTAATCATGAAGTCTTTTCTTATAACTCACATCTGCTTCTAGAACCCTAGCCTTGGTTTTCGTGTATGGTAGTCACATAAGTGAGAGAACCATAATGACAGTAGTGGATTTGTACAAGGAATGACTATGGGCCACAAAGGGCTATTTCTCCTACACATCTTGCTCATTGCACTCTCTGACTGTGTAGTTAAAGAACAGCCAGAAGCTGATATAAAATATAGACAGATCATTTGCACACATGGCCACAGACAGAAGGGAAGATGGCCTTAGTTAGATAGACTTTAGGTCAGTCTAGAATTGCTCACATGTACAGAAAAATTTAAGCTTCTAAGTTGTGTCCCTTGCCATCATCATCAGCTCATTAGCTGTCCAGATGATGTTGATGGTAGAAATCTTGTCTTAGGATTTTTTTCCCCTGGTTTCTTGTAGGTCACTCATGAAACTTGAAATCACACTGGTCAGGATTTGAAAATTACTTAGGCTGTGGAGAAAGAAGGGGTTCAGAGGTTGGAGGACGTGGGTCAGCATGGTGTAATAGAACTTACGGTGGTAATAGACATGTTTGCTATCTGCACTACCCAGGGAAATAACTGCTAGTCATATGACAACTGAACACTTGAACTGTGCTTGTGTGACTGAGGAACTGGATTTTGAGTGCCATTTGGTTTTAATCTATATTTGCATTGCTTTGTGTGGCTGGTGGCTACTATATTGGATAGTTCAGTCCCAAATATCTTTCCTTTTTTTGAATGTTGATTCACTTCTTACCAATGCCTTCTTGCCTCTGACCTCTCCCATTCATTACATTGTTTCATTGAGCAAGTTATAATTAATGCTCCCAAATTTATTTTGCAAATAAACCCACCAGAGAGAGCATTTCTGCAATATTTAAGACAAATTTAAAAATGAACTGTGTAAGTTTGTTATATAAATCTGTTGTTATTGTAAATGGATCCCAATATTTATTTTTTGTGTGTATGTAGCCTTATTTTGAATGCCCATGAATTATGAGTTCTGGGTACACTGAGCAAGACACTTTGCTGAGAGTATGCTTTTGGTTACCCATTCTGGGCTCTATCCAGAGCTGAAGGAACAATTCATGTAGTTCTCATTAGCATCAGCGGAAGTTGCCTGTAGAAATCTCCTAAGGACCCATGAGAAAAGAAGCCTCCTGCCTCCTTGCCTCTATCTCTTAGCTAATCTGTATTGTTAGGAAATCCCTCATGCTTTGTACCACATCTGAGGTACTAGACAAAGTCATGGGTTCAAGAGGTAAAGTCAGTCAGATTCTCTGTGGTAAAGTTGAGGTTTTCCCCTTGTCCCTTGACTTGACATTTATGCCTGGTAATATCCCTCTAAAAAAGTGTTAATGAATTCCTGCTCTGAGGCTTCAGAGTTTCTTCCACTATCAATGAAATGTTTGGCAATGTGCTCTTGCAGTCATTGTGGAGATAAATATTAATATTAAGCAAAAATCCTTCTTTTGTCCCTGTGTCGTCATGTCAATGTTAATTTTTTTAAAAGTTGAAGTTGTGAGATCTAATAAAAAACATAAGCACTCTAGGCTTTTTGCTAAATGGGAGATGTAATTCTTGTTTACTTGGTGCTTTCATGTCTTAAATGAGCAAATAGTGTGAGCTCTTGTCTCCCGGATATCATTGGTTTAAAATCTTGAGTTACAATTTCTTAAAGCGGAATTGTATAAGCATTCAGATGGTTAATCCCTTAAAGAGAAAAAAAAAAAAGTGCAATAGAAACATGAAAGAGTTGCATTCACAATCTTTGAGGGATGTGTTTCTGACTCATTCCAGGTCCAGAGCCAATGAGGAAGTGGATAGTTTCCCCTCCCTTTCCAATACATCTCATCCGGCCTTCTCCTCTGACCAACTCTTCATCCCCTTCTAATTTTCTTCCTGCTTCTCTGTGTCCAAGTTTTCCCCATTCATTTTCTGAATAAAAACTCTAAGCATTCAATTCAGCCTCAAACATTATTATGGACTTGATCTCCTTTCTCATTGAGCTGAGACTGTCTCAAGTGTAGCAATTCCTGTCTTGCTCTTTGAAACCATTCCTTAAACTGACTAAATGACTTCTTCCTGATGATAAGTAGTATTTGAACAGTGCTACGGGCAGAAGAAAACACAGATCCATCCCTGTAGAATATTAATTGTATTGACAAATTCTTCGTGTTTTTATGGCAGGATAAGGGCTGAGTTGCTCTCGGGGGGTCATTGACTTTTGGTGGATATCACATCGCGAGTAAAGGATGGAGGGTGAGAAGACGGGGAGAGCCAGAACACAATCCTTACATCCACCTGGGTCATGTGGGCTAAGCCAGAGTAAAGTAGGCAAGGTGAGTTTTTTTCTAAATTTTCCATCTCTTCCCAATAAAAGCTCCCCTTGCTTCCACTCGGCAGCCATTGTCTACAAATTTAGAATTTACTAACTTTACTGGGTGTGATGGAAGCCTTGAATAGATTTGGCCTACCTACCACCAGCTGAACATGATTAGTTCTTCCTACTTACTTGCCTCAGCTCTGCCTGCCTTCAGAGGTAAGTGGCTATTGATCCATCTGTCAAATAGAAAAAAAAATATTGATTGGAAGGAGTTAACCAATCTTTGGTCACCCAGGCGCGATGCAATGCTTTCCCCTTAGACTAGAAACTCTTTGAATTCCATAATTTCAAAAAGATAAGTTCATAAACACATCTATGAAGCTGCTCTAAAGAAGAGCTAGATACCTTATGCTCTAATGGAACGTGGATATTTTAGCTATATATTTTTGGTCTGTCTGGTCTGTCTCCATTTATAGGGCCTATTTTAAAAGGAAAAGGTAGCACCATATTAGGGACACAAGAGAAGGAGTTTAAAGCCATACCATGTGGGTAGTAGGTCACTTACTTTTCCCAAGTATTGTTCCAAATCACAACAACCCAATCAAAAATGGAGAGTAACAAAAACTGAATAAAACTTGCCAACCAGGCCTCAAGCTTGAGTTATTCAGCTTGCTAAACCAGTTCCATCTGGCTTCACCTTGCCTTCAGAACTTGGTAAAGAATGAAGTTCAGGGGCTGTCTGAGCACTTTTCTCTTTTTACCTCTGTGTGTGGCTTCTGGGAGTTCTTCCAAAAAGGCGGCAAGCTGGATGTTCATGGACCCCAAAATGAGTCCCCCAGAATAGGCATGATCTCAGTGTGTGGTTCTGTCAGCACCCTCGCTTTCTCTTCATGTTACACTCCCCCTCTCTGAGCGCAGACCAGAATATCCCTGGCCGTTCTTATTGCCCTATCTTGTTACTTACAAATGGCAGTCTAATTTGCTGTCTCCTGAACACCACACATTCCTTAGCTATCTCAATTTGTCTGATGAATTTATCTTCATCTTTTCTTCAGATTTGATTCATTTGGGTTTTCCCTGGAGGTCTTTAATGATATTATCTCCTTATTTAGAACCTTTTTGGACTGAGGGAAGCAGGAAGAAGCAGAGGATAGCCATGTTTAGTGACATCAACTGGAGCCTAATTTTTATTCTGTTAATGAATCCCTAGATAACCTCTGAAAAGTCAGGGAGCCTCTTTCAGCAGAAATTTCTTCATCTTGAAAACCTGGGAAAACAACAATGCACCCCTGGAAGTGACTTTAGGGGATGATTAACCAAGTGAAAAGGGATGTAGAAATCACAACCTCCCTGAGGATGACAGGAATGTTTTCCTTCCCCTCAGATGAATTGCAGGGCCTCCCACTCTGGAACCTGTGCGTTTCCAAGGAGTCTTGGAATGTGTTAATGAATTGTCAGTGGTTTGTGTCTGTAAGGAAAGTGATGTCAGCATTGTCTATGAAATTGGTTGTTTCCATGTTTCCTTCTATTTATGTCTTAGCAACACTCAAGGCTGATTTTATGATTGGAGCATACTGGGGAAGTTTTGACTCCTGCTGTAAGTTAACTTCTACATTCACATACAACAAAGATTTAAATCTACACCAGTAGAAATTTACTCTGTTAAGAAGTTTTTAGGGGCCGACACTGTGGCATAGTGGGTGAGGCCTCTGCCTGCAGTGCCGGCATCCCATATGGGCACCAGTTCGAGTCCCGGCTGCTTCACTTCCAAACCATCTCTCGGCTATGGCCTGGGAAAACAGCAGATGGCCCAAGTGCTTTGGCCCCTGCACCTGCCTGGGAGACCCAGAAGAAGCTCCTAGCTCCTGGCTTCGGGTCAGCCCAGCTCCAGCTGTTGTAGCCATTTGGGGAGTGTACTAGCCAATTGAAGATCCCTCTCTCTTTCTCTCTCCCTCCTCTGTCTCTCTGTAACTCTGCCTTTCAAATAAATAAATAAATATTTTTAAAAAAGAATGTTCAAAGGCTTTTAGTTTATTAGTAACCCTGAAATGTACAAGATTATTTCTAAAAATTTATGGGAAATTAAATTTTAAAAAAAGTTTATTTTGGCAGAATATAGTTTTGAAAGTCATGCGTAAGAGGGGTTTTCAAGAAGTTCATAGAGGCCCTTGCCGTGGCTCACTTGGCTAATTCTCCGCCTGCGGCGCCAGTACCCCAGGTTCTAGTCCCAGTCAGGGCACCAGATTCTGTCCCGGTTGCTCCTCTTCGAGGCCAGCTCTGTGCTGTGGCCTGGGAAGGCAGTGGAGGATGGCCCATGTCCTTGGGCCCTGCACCCCATGGGAGACCAGGAGGAAACATCTGGCTCCTGGCTTCCAATCGGCGCAGCACGCCAGCTGTAGTGGCCATTTGGGGGGTGAACCAACGGAAGGAAGACCTTTCTCTCTGTCTCTCTCTCTCTCTCTCTCTCACTGTCTAACTCTGCCTGTCAAAAAAAAAAAAGTTCATAGAAATGAATATAATGAAAAATTATGCATGAATTTCAAAACTTTCTGCAACAAAATAAATATATCTTTTAATTTAATTCTCACATACTTCCTAAAAAATTGTTATGTATTTATTTGAAAGGCACAGAGAGAGAAGGAGAGACATAGAGAGAAAGAGATCTTCTATCTGCTGTTTCACTACCCAAATGGCTGCAACAGCCAGGCGCTGAAGCCAGAGGCTGGGAATTCCATCCAGGTCTCCCACATGGCAGCAGGGACCTAAGTCCCTGGGCCATCTGCTGCTTTCCTGGGTACATTAGAAGGAAGCTGGATGACAAACAGAGCAGCCAGGACTCAAACTGCAACTTACCCCACTGCCCCACAACCTGCACCCACACACAATTTTTGAAGCCTCTCATCCACCTGTGTAGATAATGACTCAATGATAATGCATAAAATAGTGTATTTCATATATGCATATATATGATTTTACATATGTAAGAAATCAGTGTAGGAAGAGATATATATGCATATGTGTGTATGTGTATATATGAAAGATGCTACTTCGTGAATTATAGCAGAGTCATTAATGCACACCACGACTAGCCACACTGAGGAATCAGAAATAAGGAAAAAGGTCAACAACTATTGTGCCTACATAATAGTCTCGCTCTGGGTTTATTCTTTCTTATAAAAATAACTTTAATTTAGATTAGATTCAGGGCCAGCGCCTGCAGCATCAGCACACCAGGTTCTAGTCCCTGTCGGGGCACCTGATTCTGTCCTGGTTGCCCCTCTTCCAGGCCGGCTCTCTGCTGTGGCCCGGGAGTGCAGTGGAGGATGGCCCAAGTGCTTGGGTCCTGCACCCCATGGGAGACCAGGAGAAGCACCTGGCTCCTGGTTTCGGATCAGCACGGTGCACCAGCCATGGCAGCCATTGGAGGGTGAACCAACGGCAAAGGAAGACCTTTCTCTCTGTCTCTCTCTCTCACTGTCCACTCTGCCTGTCAAAAAAAAATAAAAATAAAAAAATATAAAGATTAGATTCAAATTTACAGAAAATTGTTAATACACAATGGTCCTCCCTTATCTATGGTTTCATTCTCTGAAGTTTCAATTATCTGAAGTGAATTGTGATCTCACAATAGTAAATGAAAAATTCCATAAATATAACATGTATAAGTTTTAACTGTACAACACACAGAGTTTATTATTGGATCTTTTGCTGTCCTGCTCCATCCCACCAGGGACCTGAGGCGTCTCTTTGTCCACTGTTTTCATGCTGTATGCAGTACCCATTCGTTAGTCACTTAGTGGCTGTCTTGGTTACCAGGTGGGCTGTCTCAATATTACATTGCTTGGGTACAAGTAAACCTTACATGGTAGCTTAATGCTACAACACAGCATCTGCATCATCCACCTTATTTCATCTCCTCAAGAAGGCATTGTTTTATCTTGTATCATCATGAGGAGAAGGGTGAGTAGAGTACCATCCGATATTTCAGGAGAGAAGCAGACAGAACTAGAACACATTCCCATAAATTTTATGTTACATTGTTATAATCATTCTGCTTTATTTTTACTCATCATTTTAATATCTTACTGTGCTCAATTAATAATCAACTTTGTAATATATATGCATGTAAAGGGAAAAAAAATCGTATGTATAGGACTTGTGCTATTCAAGGTGTCAGGCATCAATCCACTGTAGTCTTGGAAAATTACCGGAGTATGGAGAAGTCCCAAATACCCAGTTTCCCTTAACCTCTTAGAAAAGCACAGTATATTTGCTATGGTCAATGAACCAATAATGATATCATATTAACCAAAGTCCATACTTTGAGGTTTTCAGATTTTACCTTGCATCCTCGTCTTAATCTCATCTAGGATACCACATGACATTTCTTTGCCAAATTCCCTCTTTGCTATGATGTTTCCCAGACTTATGTTTAAAGATCTTGATTGACAGCTTCAAGAACCACTGGTCAATATTTTCCAGAATTCCTCTTAAATGGGATTCTTCTGATGTATTTCTCATGATCAGACAGGGTCGGGGCGGGGAGGGGAAGGGTTATGGGTTTAGGGAAGAAAGCCACAGAGATAAAGTGCCATTCTCATTATATCATATCAAGGGTATGTATTATCAGCCTGATTATAGCTGTGAGGATTGCGTCAAACTGGAAACGCAACACCCCCACTCCCGCCCCATTACCGGCAGGTGTTCACCTTAAATCTGATGGCTGCGGGAATCCTGCTCAGGGCGACCTGGTCTTGATTTTTCCCCGAGCCAAAAATCTCAGTGTTTATGTAAAACACCCTCTTTTAAATATTATCAACTAATTCAAATTTGTTCTACACTTGTATGGTCAAATAAAATTTGTCTATGGGCCAATGTTAGTCGACAGTCACCAGTTTGCACACTCTTTTGTACATATATGGGAATTATTAAAGTTTTATACCCAGAAAGGTGCATTACCATATTTGACGCTGTTTGCTTTGTGCTTTACAAATCATTTCTAGTAGGGACAGGTGGGAGGAGAAATGAGTGGAGCATAAAAGTGGGGGGAAAAGATCACATCAGCCATTACTTTTGTCAATACCAAAAGAAGACCTGACCTAAGGCACGGCATAAAAGTATGTCTTTGTATATACTTATAGTCTATAATAAAATGCTAGGATGTAAAAGTACATAGTATAGACAAGGAGAGTAGGAGAAGGTGATGGGTTTGGAGACACTTCAGAGTTAAATCTATCGGGATGGGTGATGTGCTGGGTTTATGGGTGTGGGCCCAAGGAAGGCATCAAAGACAATGGCGAGGTTTCTAGCTTGGGAAACTGGGCTGAGCCAAGGAGTGTCAGGAAACAGCAGGTTTGCAGGAGCCCATAGAGATGTCTCTGGATTGTCCAGTTAGTCCCACTCAGCGCACAGTTGGAAATACAAATTTGTATCTGAAGAGAGAGAGATCCAGGGCCAGAGATCTAGGTTATGTGTGTCTTCGAAATGCAGGTGGTAGCTGCCAAAAGACCACGGTCTAACAGCATAAATAAAGCAATGCAGAAATACAGATTTCTTCGCAGATGGGTCCAGAGAAAAGGGAGCCAGTAAAAGATGACATTGCAAATGCGTCCTGTTCAACTCCTTCTCTGCAGGGCTTAGGGGCCACACTCAGGGCTCCCACGCATGGTGCTGCTTCTGCATCGTCCACTTCCGGCCTTTCCTTACAGTTTCCAGTCTCTGTGACTCCACGTCTTTAAACGCGGACATACACAAATGGACTCCTTTCTATCTTATCAGCATATTACAAAATCCTGGCTGTCTTCCTTCTTCTTCTTTTTTTAAAATAATGTATTTTTTTCTCCTTTCCTGTTCAGATTTTTCTCTGCCTCTCCACGGGGTTCAAGTGCAGGACTGGGATCAAACCCATGGTCTGTTCTTACCAGGCTGGGTGAGTTTGGACAAGCCTCTTAACCTCACAGAATTTCAGTGTAGTTATCTCCAAAAGGGAGATACCATCTACCTCCTGTTGTGTCTGTGTGGATTAAAAGTCTTAACACAGGTCAAACACCCAGTCCTGTGGCTGGCCCTGAGCCCATGTTCTGTAAATCAAGAGGCAATCCCTACTCTCACTGCTCTTTCCTAACCCTTCGTGTTTTGTGTACGGCTCTGTTGCCACCAGCGATGTAGGTTCTTGCCTTTTTCTTCCCATCCCGGTTCAAGCTCTTTGCTGATCGCAATGACATATATCTGAATTTGTATTTATACCCTCTTCCGAACACACAGGGCGGACTCCGTCACTGTACCAATATTTATCTATGCCAACCTCGATTAATAAATATCTCAGTAAACACCAGGAATATCCTAGGGCTTGACACCTCTCTGCCATAGAAATGAAACCTGCTGCTGATTTT